GAGATACCGAAACGAAACTACAAACGCAAAAGTACACCAGTCAAAGTCAATGATGAAATGGAGCCAAAGAGTGATGCGAATGTTGGTCTCGATATCTCACCCGACAGCACAACGATTCCGGCTAAACGAATGCGATTCCAATCGATTGAGATCAAAGACAGTGACGACGAATCAACAAACATACCCGAGCCCCCACAAAATACTGAAGAACAGTTCAATTCGCTATTCGGTGGTCCATCTTGTTTCAAAGGTCAAGTCCAACCAAATGCCAACGCACTGCATAAAAATCTGTTGAGCAAGGTCAAGATCAAGAAGGAACGTTCCAACTCATCCGATCACATCACCTACATATTGTCAGACAGCGATTGAATTTGAGAACCAGTCGAAACGAGCCAAAATTGAACATTTTGTCGGGTTTATTCAAATGAACTCAAAACACCACATAATGTGGAATATTTTTTTTCATTTATTTTGTGAAAATTTTAACCTTTGCAAAAGAAAAAAAGGTTTTAAAAAGACAATTTCAACACTTTCCCGAAGTGGAAATTAGCTTATTAGCCGTTTTGAGCGTTTCAATAGAAATGATGCATGTAAATGCACTTAGAATCTAATTCTTCATCGATGTGATCATTTTTCGATTTTTCAGTTGATAAAAATCCAGAATATGGAGTTTTTGGCGAGAAAAAAATTAAATTTCGATGCAAAAGAATTTTTTTCACACAAAAAATCATCGATTGATGCAAAAATGAAATTTTCCGAGCGAAAAATAGAATTTTTTTTTAAGGAAAACCATTTGTTTTGGGGGAAAAACAATTTTTATTCAAGAAAAAAAATTCAAACGAAAACGAATTGGTTTTCAAGACAAAATAAAAATGTTCAAATGAAAAATAAAAAAAAAACGAATTTCGAGAGAAAAGAAATGGATTTTCTAGACGGAAAAATAACTCTTTTATGAAATAAAATAAATTTTTAGAACAAAAATGATCATTTTTGAGGCAAAAAAAAGTAAAATTGAAGCAAATGACACAAATGTTATTCAAATAAATCAGAGTTAAAAATTCCAATGGAGAATTGATTTTTTTTTCAAAAGACACGCTTCATCGAAGACAACGAAGACATTTCTTGAAAATTCTTTTGAAATAAAGTAAACAAAAGCAGAAAATGGAAATTAATTTGCCAGAAAATTTGATTTTTTTCGGTAGATTTTTTTTTAGTTTCAAAAATTCGAATTTCAATAAAAGCAACGTTTTTTTTTTTTCAATTAAAAACCTACCTTTACTTACTGTCCTGTTTTGTTAGAACATCAATTCAGAGTCTAGATTCTAGACATCAATTTAAAGAAGGTAATGAATGATAATGAATAATCATTGAACATCGAGCGTTTTATGGAGGAAAATAAAATGTCAATATACATACTTTACAATAATTTTCAACTCATTTAAGTCCCTTTTTTGTATTGCCCTTGAAAATTCAAGAAAAAAATTTCTTTAAATTCTTCAACAAGAAAAAAATCGAATAAAAAGGAAACCGAACCCAACTTTGGTATAAAATGTCAAGAAGTTTTTTTTTTCATTAAATTTTTAAATTTTTATTACTGCATAAAATATGACTATCAAATTGTGTGTTGCTTATTCAGCTTATAATAATATATTCATATCTATATATATATAAACGTACGCCGTAATAAGATATACTATAGTATAGTATAGCGTTAAAATATATTTATCGTATTATAATACAGGAATATCATTTCATTTCATTCAATTAAAAATTAATCATGTTCCTTCTGATTTAAAAAGTAGCGTTTACATTAGAAATTGTTCTGTTTTTGTGTGTTCCTTTTCGTATATGGAGTACAATTTAAAATGTTGTGATTAAACTTAGCCATCGAGTAACACAATTTAAAAAAAAATTCCATAAATGTACAGTACACTTGCACGATATAGAGAAGCAGAAGAAAAAAACTGAATTAAAAACAACCAGATAGTTTTGCTTGCGCATTTTGACATAGAGAAATTGGCGTGGTGATTCCATGTAACAAATGAATGTGTGCGTAAAATGACTTGTGTTTTATTGACCAGACATTGACTTTCTCGGCGACTGGGAAAATGGATGTCCTTAAACTCTAGTGTTTCCGTGCATTGTAGGAAAAATAAAAAAAAATAAACAAAGTTGTTCGGCTCTCAATCGTGAACAATCACGAGAAAAAAAAACGAAAACCAAATAAATTCATGTACAGTTCGTTGAAAGTGTGAGGTGAGTCTTTTTTTAGACGAAACTGTATTGATTGTCGACAGCTCGTCCAGATTCCGATTCGATGGCATTGCTACGCGGCTGTTGATTTAGTCCAGTGGTTGCGGTCGGTGTGCTGGAATTCGATAGATTGGTCGACGATGACGATTGATTCAACAGCAAATGCGTAACCTCTAAATCACATGTCTTGATCCGTGTACTGGCATTCAATGTGATTATTTGGTTTGGCTACACAATATTCGAACAACAAAAAGAGATAGAAAGGAAAAAAGAAGATGAAAATAACATTCAGTAATCGGGTAACGATTATCATATGAACTATGTGCACCAAAGACGCTTCAGTCCAAGGGATTTTCATTGATTTATCTCACATTTTGTTGGCTTATTTGTTTGTTTTTTTTTTAAACTAAATCATGAAATCCACAAATTGTCAATTTTGGACTGACTAACGCCGGCGCATCAACTGTACACGGGACACAATTCAACGAATATTGGAGAAGATAGTTCAATATTTTTTTTTTTAGTTAAGTGCAAGTGGAAACACTACAACGAACACAGAAAAGTCAAAAAGAATTGAAACACTGGTATCTGGGACCTAGTCTAGGTGGTATAACTTCCGTTATTGTCTTGGATCATGTAAATATTTTTTTTGGTTTGAAAACTTTTCCATGAAACAATGCTACAGAACCATCCAAATGACATTTGATGTCAATCATCGACTAGATCCCAACCAGCTCTAGTGCTACACCGAAATCCATTAATTTAAAAATTACATTCAAACAGAAAACGAAATTTGGAAGAAAAAAAATAGTCACAAAAATTTTTACAAAATTTTTTTTTTGATGAAGAAAGAAGAGCTAAATTTTGTTTGTAGTATGAAATGATGAGAAAGAGAATGAAATAAGAGGGTATCGTATGTGTGTGTGTGTGTCAACGAAAAAGAAAAAATCATATAAAATAAACTGTTTTGCAAGCAATGCAAGCATTCACTGACATTTAAACGACGGCAAGCTGCTAATGATTGAAGCTATCTCACATGTCTTGGTGTCTGTTGATTGTACACATAATTGGTGAGCGTTACATCGGCCGAACCGCCCGACTCAAGCGGTATTGGATTTTGCATAAAATGATCCAGCATTTCGTGTATCGATGGAAACCACAGATGTTGCACACGACATTGACCTGCAATTTTTTTTTGAGATGATGTGAGATTTTGTTTTTAAAACAAAATTCTTTTGTATCCATCAACATACCTCCATCGTTTAAGCTGCACCGAAGATGTTTAGCTTTGCCTTGAAAATTGAATGTCAATACAAATTCGCCTTTGCGCGTCTCACTCTGTCGTACTAGGAACACACCGTGACCATTGGAACCGCCGTGAAGTACAAGATTGGCCGCATCGGAGCGTGCCAATGTGCCATGAAACCATGGAAATTCGCGCATATTCGCCGCTAAATCAGCATCCACCTCCAGCACTGATTCCAAATCACCTTCAGTTAGCTCAAAATTACTCGATGTCGATATCCGTTCGCCTGTACTTCGGCCAATTGTCTCATTTTGCAATGCTAAATTATTGGGTGAGGGTGTTGTCGTTGTTGTGTCGTTTAAAAATGTTGTGCTACCACCGATTGCACCTGATTCAAAGATGGAAAAGGAAAATGGTTTAGTTCTTTGGGTAAATTTCGAAAGATAGTTTTTTTGGGCAGTATAGTGAAATATGATCATTCTTGAAAAAGAAGAAAAAAGAAAACAAACAAGGCTCAGAGAAAAATTGACAACATTCACCTTCAGTGTTAGTGGTCGGCGCTGTAGCAGCTGGTGGAGGTGAAGCAGGAATCGTTGTTAAGTTTGGCATCGCTGTCAATGTTTCAACACCTTGTACTTGTACCGTTGGTGTGCTACGCATGCAATACCGTATAGTTGCCAGCCAACTTCGCATATCATCCGAATTGGCCGCTTCGATCACATATTCCATATGATTGTCGGCTTTAATGACAAACGTATTCTCTCTGCTTGGCATCTCCAGTGCTGTCGTCTCACGAACGTCCGATATTAAAAAGCAAAATACACCACTTCGTGGCTTTGAAATCGAAGAAGAACCAGTAAAGAAATGATTAGTATCGGAATGAGCTAGAAAATTTCATAAAAATCGAGAAAAAAAGGCATTTTTTTGTTCATGCGTCCAATGAACTTAACAAAATCCCATTAAAATAAACAAAGAACAACTACCAATTGTTGAACTCGCAAGCACTAACCTTTTTGGCATTTGGTGGTGAGTAAAATTCTAACAAATAACCGCCGGCCGTTTTGACCAGAGCTAGTTTACACTTTTCCCACTTGTGATTTTCGGATTCGAGACTTTCCTGTGTGAGTACAACAACCTCGCCAACTTTACGGCATTCGACAACAATATTGGAGAGTTTCGCTTTCCCCTGTCGACTGCCCGACGCGTCCGCCTCCTCTGAATGATGTTTATGGAATAATGCCTGCAACAACACAAAACTCTAGATTTCGTCGGGAAAAGAGAATGGAACAAGCAGAACGAGAAAAAGAGAGAGAAAAACAAAAACCATAGCAAAACAAGTGTGGGGCAGTTTGTGTTTGTGCTCGATGCTTATGTATCGGTGGTTTGTGTTTTGTGCATATGGCATTTTTTTTTTTTTTGGAATGGCCAATATCAATGTTGGAATGGCCAACAATGTTGGCCCAACATTGACATTGCCCAATGCCCATTCATTTGATGGAATGACCGGCGTAGATGATGGTGTGTGTTTGCATACCTTTCCTTTTTTAAGTCCCTTGAATGACAAGCGTCGAAAGAATGGTTTCGACGGTTTTGGTGCATCCACCTGATCGTTTCGCTCTGATTCTTCTTCGATGCTATTGACCGTACCATTTGGCTTTTGATGTGAGAGTCGTCGTCGTGAGAATTCCGTTTCAAAATGCTCTGAAAAGCATTCGATGAATCGCTTCATGAAATCCGTATGGGAAGCGGACACTTGCACATTGCCCGGCAGATTTGTGTTGATATAATGCACACAGGATTTGGCAAAATCGGAAGCAGCGGCCCGTGCATGACGTTCACAACTGAAATGGATGCAAATGGTTAGGATTGCATTTTTTATGAGGTTTTTTTTAACGTTAACATTTCTTTTGGGTTTTTTTTTTTAATGTCAAGGAAGTTTTAATGGGTTTTTTTTTCTTCAAGGCAGATTTAAATGAAAAAAAATTAATGAAATTCAACAAAAAAATTAATGAAAAAATCTTTTGAAGAGGAAAAAACCTGTGTTTTTGAACAAAAAACATATTTTTAAAGGAAAAACTTCTTTTTCTACCCAAAAATCTGTTTTTCCATCAAAAACAGGGGTTTTCTATCATCATACTCACAATTCGGACCATCCATAAATACCACCAGATGTACCAGTAGTACTGTTGTTGGCAATTGCCATTACAAAATCTGTCAATGAATTTCCGTATTTCCGTTCGATTGTTGTGTTGTTGCTATTTGTTCGTTCCTTAAATTTTCTTGTCTTTCAGCCAATATTCCCTTGTTTTTTTCTTTCACTTTTGTCGTTTGAGCTCCGTGTTTGCCTTACTCTATTTTAGAAATGTCACACAAATTGAATGAGCAGAACGAAGAAAAAAAATGAAAAACGCAGAATATGATTAACAATACATTGAAAGAAACAGCATGAACTCTGTTCGCATACAATGACATATAGGCAAAAAACGCAAGTGATAAAACACCGGTCTCAATGAAAAGTGCTGCGTGTGTATGTGTCTGTGTGTATGTGAATTGGCACAGTTGTGAATGAACTTATGATGAAATTGATTAAAATAGCACACGATAATGATGGTATCCCCAAAAATAATTAAATCTGTTTTTTTTTTTGTTGGTCATTCGATTGGTCGGCCGGTCCAAAACAAAGTGACATCTTCCATTATCATTGGAAAATTTGTTTGACTTTCGATTTGCGACACTCGTTCTTTCTCTCAATTTCTCATCACCGCCACTCTCTCGTGCTCACGACACACGAAACAATAACAACAACAAGAGTTCTTGCGACGAACGCACACTCATAGAGAAATGGCACCAATTTCACGCTACACACTAACACGTGCGAACACATTCAATGGACACAATCACAACAACAACATAGCAGCAGCACCAACTGAAACTGTCGTCACACACGAATAGTCGACGAACCAAAAAAAAAACAGCAGAGAATCAAGCCCAAATGAAAAAGGAAACCAAATTCACACGCACTGACCAAATTCGTTGTGTTTTATGGATATTTCTACCGCCTTTGCTGGCCTATCGTGTGTATGTTTTTTCTCCGCGTTTTGCCTGTGTGTATTCCATGCGTATGATGGAATGAAAAAAAAATGCGCCACAAAAAAAATTCACTACCTTTGATTGTTTTATTATTTTTACTTCGTTAGTAATTTCGTTGTTCTTGGGTTGTTTTTTGTGTGTGTAGATTTGCTTTACGAATCGCTGAAAATGATCCATGAAACTGCGTCAATCATTTGTGCGATAACTTTTTGTCACTTTTGATGGTGATTCGGTTCTTTTTTTTCCCTTGACTTCGTTGCTTCCTTTCTCTCTCACTCATTCACTCTTAACGAGGATGTCTTTGGTATTGTCGAAGCAATTTTTTGACTGTCATCAATTTATTTTTATACACATTTCCACTAAATTCACTAACAATGCCACTATGCATTATGCGAAATCCATTTTCAACGAAACACTGTCCTTTTTTTATCAATGAATTGTGCATGAATTGGTTGGTTTTTGTGAGACAAACGATTTAAACACACCGATAGAGTCAAAACAAAACAACTCACTTTAGGGCGGCAGACATATTTGATTATTTTCTCGACGCAAACTCTTCAGAGAGAGACCGAATGATATGTATCGATGCGTTTGGCTCTCTTCGTTGCGTCTCTTCGTCGGCTTCACTATCTCATTGACGGCAACGACAACGCAACGATACTATCGTGTAGCACGGGTAACTGTGGTGCTCTTTTAACCGCATGAACCAATGACGCTACCGCAATACCTCTTTATACAGCACTCAACGTTCACATACGAACTGTCACTTGCGAACACAGTTCACATACGCAACGCAAAGAGAGAGAACTTTTAGAACGCACACATGGACACACACACAGAGAATAACAACGCGCATCATACTCACACACGCACACTTGGCTACGCTCATTGTTTATTTGTCATTCTCTCTGTATTGTACACATTTTTTTCCTGTGTTCACGGCCATATGAATGGGAATGCAACTTGCCATTTGCCGGCGATACACACAAACACCAACGACAATCAAAACAAAACAAATGACATGAAATCAAAGCGAGAGAATAATAACACAAAAAAAAGAGAACAACATAAATAGACGGAATTACTGAGTTTTTATTAGGTCTTTTTATGAACGGGGAATTACACTTGTGACTTATTATTTTCCAATTGGATTCATTACGTGATACGTGAGTTTGGTTTTCTGTATGGTTCACAGGTCAATGTCCGTTTGCTATTTGAAATTGGTTTACTTTTAGTAATTATGATGATATTATTGTGATTATAGACATTGTTAGTTTTGATTTTATGATTCGGAAACACATTCATTCAATAAAAAAGACGATGGAAATATATGCAGATTCACTTTGGTACTTCCCAAAAAAGTAGTACTCATTGATAGTACATCCGATGGAAATGGAAGAAGAATAGAAAAACAAAATAAAATTTTTGGAATGTATATTCAAATTGCCGCCGATGTCAGATTCGTTTTTGTTGGAAAAGAGCAGAAAAAAAACAGAAAAAGTTTCAAATAAACGCGATTTTTGGTGTTTTTGTTGTTTTAATTGAAAAAAAAGTAGCCACACGAGTTTTTTTTTTGTCATTCGATTTGGTTGAATTGTTCCACACTGAAAATGATTTCATGCTGAAAGTGATTGAATTATTGCCAAAAATACTAAATTCTTCAACAAATATGTTATAATTTACAAATGTTGATCAAATTCAATTCCACAAATTCACAATTTGTTGCGAATAGAGGAGAATTACAAGAATTTAGACTCTCTTTTTTTCCATGTTCTTCTTTCACAAAACGAGATATTTTTCAACGATTTATGGCTTACCCACTTTTTTTTTACTTTCATCACTTTTGACTTCTTTCGTAAACTGCTGTAGTATGATTGTTGAACGAGGATGTTCCTTGTATATCGAACAATATATTGTGATAAGAACTCAATTATAACTTCATTCTTTGCTTTTCTATGAATCATCCAGTGACCGGTTTGAAAGAATAGTACACTACTGGTGCATATCACTTTGAAGTTCAAGGCCTGATAAAACACGATACGTTTACATAATTTAGATGCTTATCTAAAACGAAACAGGCTCTTCCAAGAGAGAAGAAAAACCAAGCAGACTTTGAACAGAACGTGAGACGTTTTTTCTTCTTCATTCAGTCGACGAGACATTATTTGGATAAGTCGGTTGAATATAAATTTTGTATTGGCTTAAAATGACATTTTTGTACGAAATTCGACCTAAACTTCATTCATAATATGAATGTTTCTTTCTTCACAACCGTTAAAATGGCGCAAACTATCTAGCTTCTTGTTCCAATTTTGAAATTGAAAAAAATGATCATTTCTATGACAAAAAATGGAGAAAACGCTTCATCTCAGAAATGCTAGCAGAAATTGTCCACAATCCAGAAATAATTTCGAAACATGACAATTTTCCCTTCAGTTTATTGACTCGAATTTCAATTTGTTGAACCTGAACCGTTGAACCAACTGTATCTAAAGTAAACGTATTTTTAATTTGTTTGTTTTCGAGCGACGCCCTCGTTGTTGAAAATCGTAATGTTTGCCAAAAAAAAATATTTAATCACATCGTTACTTCCTTTCTGGTGTTATTTGATGTTGTCCGGTGAATCAGTTTTGAAGTTATTTTTGTAATAACCCTTGAAAATTTGATATCACTCGGTCATTTGTTATTGTCTCAATTGCGACACAGAATTTTATTTACATAATTTGTGGTGATTTAGTTGGCCACTAGTATACACTGTAATTTTGTTTAACTTATAATTTACATTCCCAAAACTAAACATCACGATTTCATAGAGTCAATAAAGAAAATGACATTTGTTCTCAAAAGTACTCGCTATCAAAATAAACCAATGGGCAATTTCTTTCAGCAACTACTTGATAAGCATTATTTATACCGAATTTATTCCAAATATCTTTACTGCGATCGTTCCACACATGAATGACTGTTGAATTTTCAATGATTTTCAGAGCTTCATCCAATTTTTCTGGCTCAAAATACAACGTGTAATTTGACCATGAAATTGGATAAAATGTTTCTTTGGGATGAATGGTTAGGCCTTGGCATTGACGTCGTGTCCACAGTGTTCGATCCTCTGTTGAGCATATATCCTCCAGGATTCGTGTCAACATCTTCGGCCCATTCGCTATGAACGATGTTCCGTTGAAATTTTTTATCACTTCTCTGAAATTGCAAATGATTTTATTCATTAACAATAATTAATGCAATTAACGAATCATTTTACTATTTTTGTGGGATTTTCTTTATCTCGGTTGTATAAATGTGCTTCGTAGAAAAAAAATTGTTCGATTAAAAACGTGCTGTGGTTTGAACAACAGAAAATTGTTCTCATGTTTTTTTTTTTGTGTAATATTAAAAAATGATTATTAAAAAAATTCATTGAAATTCGAAGTTTTTTGATTGATTTTTTTTTTTTTAAACCAAACCAATTTGACGTCGTTGGAACCAATTTTTTCATCAAAACTTGATTTTTTAACCAAAAAAAAAGATTTTTTCACACTTTTCCCTGTAAAAAATTATGGAAACATCGAGCTGAACAAAAGATCAACATTAAAATCGGACTAAACAAAAAATAAATACCCAAAAAATCGTTGTGAAATCTCACGACCGATGCCGTAATTGTTCAAATGCAAAACGGCACCATTTACAACCGTTGCCCAGTCATCGCCGATAAAGTCCTCGCCCAAATCGTCGATATTTTTCTGAACGATCACATCCAAATCCATGTGATAGCCGCCGTATTTGTACAGTGTAATTGCACGCACTATATCTGACATATGTTCGAATAGGAATGCTGACTCAAAGAGTTTATTGCTCTTGAGCCAATCGGTCAATGGTGTTTTGAATGAATATCGCCATAAATTCATATTTCGAACATAAATGTTGCCATAGGTCTGAAGTTTGTTGTAGAATTGTGGCAACATTTCATTTTCTCTAACTCCAACTGGAGATGCAAATATCACAAATATATCACGGGTTGGATTCAGCCGAGCAGCTGACTCAATGGCACATGCTTGCCTAATCAAAACAAATGGGAAAAAGAGACTTTAGTTGATTTTTATGGAATTTTTTTTTTTTTCAAAGTATGAAGACAATGCACAGTCTTTTCTTTGATTGAACTGATTGTCATTCAGCTTGAAAAGACTGTACTTCAGGTTCAACCACAATTCGATTCTGAGCATTGCCCAAAAAGACTCTATCAAATACTCAGCAGTAAGAAATTTTTCTGTTTCTTAAAAGTATTTGAAAAATCTGAACAAATGAATGAGTCTTCTCACACCAAAGTGTGAAGTCATTGAAAATTTCAATACGACGTATTTTCAATGGTGATCAATTAATGTACATAACTTACTTCGCGTTAAGTTTCACGATGCCTGTCTCTGAGCACGTAGTTTCGTGGAAAAAAATGGCTTTGCCCACCGTAGGCTGTTTTTCCGCATCCAAAATATCTTCAAAATAACTAATTGAACCGTGTGCACTGGGTGACTTATAACAACGATTAATACCATTTAATTCACTGGGTTCTAATTCATTGACACTTGGCGTTCGGAATTTGATATCACTTCGTAGAAACCTTGAATCGGTCAAAATGGTTACGGTCAAAACGATCGAAGAAGCTAACGCAAGTGAATATCGTAAATAGCTTGCGAACTGTACGGTCATTGTGATGCTCAAATATCAACACTATATATAGACTGAAATTGAGTAAATTCAAGAGGCCCCGAAAAAGCCAAAATAATTGTGATAAAAACAAACCATTACCAATCTTATCACAAACACTGCCCAGGAAATGTCTGTATACACGAAACACACCGACAGAAATACATACCATTCGCATCACTATGTCACAGAGAACGAGTTCGATCGACGAACGAGAATAAATTACCATGGCATTTTATCACTCGCATTTTTCGGTGGTGTTGGTGAGGCGATAATTTTTGTAACATATCGCTTTGTTTGATTTTTTGTTATTTCTCCGTTCGTGCTTCTCTCACTCGAACTCAATGATCTAATTATATTCATTTGGCATTAAATGAAATTTGTGAAAGAGAGAATTGACAAACACAACTCGACCAAAGTGAGTCTACTAAGTTGATTCGCTCGTGAAATGTGAACATCTAGTTTCTACTATTTTGGAGTAGTGGCTTTGAAAGTGAAAATTTTGTCTCAATCAATAAAATTTCATTGATGAGACGATGATCTGGTTTTAAATTTTAATTTACACACTTATTTGGTTCTCGTTCGGATTTATCGGATACTAATAATTAGAGCAGTGAATATAGCAGTCGGTTTGACGTCTATCAAATAGGTATTCAAATGTCCATCAAATTGGTCTCCATTTAACACTGATAAAATCGTTATTTATCGAACCAAAACTTAAAAGATAGCGAATGTAATGCGATGCTTTGCTGAATAGAAACTAAATGACGTTTTTTTTTAAATTATTTTCAAGTTTTACTGTAAATTTTTGATCAAACAAAGATTTAAACTAATCCATTTTATTCCAAATGTATATTGAAAGTGGTTTGAATGAAAACTCGCATTCAATTTCATTTGTTACATGCATGCCTTAAGGCAGCTTAATATGGAAAAACGCTGTTGGTGAAACTTAAAGGGAGAAGAAGAAAATGGAGGGAAAATGTTGAGAGAATAGTTGAACGAGATAAACTGCATGATAGAAGCTTGCGTTGCATAGTCTCAGTCAGGGAACACGAATTTCCTTCGGAATTTGTGCACAGTTCATGATTTTCGAGTCATTTTTGATTCGTTATATTGATCTAAACACCGCAATAATGAAAATGAACTGATAAACTTTGTAATGGGTAAAAATTCAATGTCAATTAAGTTTTAGCTACAAGTAACGACAGTTAATTTTATCGCTGAGTAAATATTTCCATTAGAATCGATCGTATTTTTTTCCATTATCAGTGAGATCTTCAGGATTACATCATACACCAGAAATCTATCGACCCAATGCACAATGCACATTTATACCTGGTACTTTTCTATCTATGTCTCGCATTTAATAAACCGAAGTTGATACGATGACTGCAAAAAAAAATCACGACAAAGATAGAAAAAGATAACGTAAAATGTAAGAAAGACAGATATCAATCGGAAGAAAATTGGAAAAAAAAATTGAAATGTCTGTATAACACAGAAAACAGTCCAAAGTAGTCAAGAATGTTATTTTATTTTATTTTTTGAGCATATGGAGTAATTGTACTCTGAAATTATATTTTAACTTCTCTTTACAGATATTTGAACTTTGCAACAAAATTACGATAGTTTTTGTTGATTTTGAAAACAACACAGAGAAAAAAACCGCCTTATCTGTTCATGGAAAAACACCAAAAATTTCCATTTTTAGTTTGATATAAAAAGTTTCTTATGTTCCATGTGGATTCTTCTCTGAAGTACTTTTCTTTCAATGTAACTCTTCAAAAATACTCGCTACTCCCCCAAACTAATGGACAATTCTTTTCGGCTGTGCTTTGATAAGCATTGTTTGTACCGACTTTATTCCATATTTTGCTGCTACGATCGTTCCACACATGAATTAACGTTGAATTCATAGCTAATTTCAGAGCTTCTTCTCGTGCAACCGGTTCAAAATACATCAAATAATCGGTCCAAGAGATTGGATAGAATGTTTCCTTTGGTTGCAGCTTGAGACCAGAGCAACGTTCCCGTGTCCATAGTGTTCGATTCGTTGTTTTACAAATATCCGCACAGATTTGTGTCAACAACGTGGGCCCATTTGCCAAGAAATCATCTACGTCAAAAGTGTTAATCACACCTCTGAAAAAGAATGAATTAAAAAATTGAATAAATGAACTCAAGTTTTGAAGATTCAAATGAAAAAAAAAAAAAACGTTTTCCTCAAAGAAAAAAATCATATTTACTTCAAATATCGTCCGGAAACTTCTCGTCCAATACCAAAATTGTTCAAGTGCATAACACCACCGGCAACAACTTCACCCCAATCGTCACCGAGAAAATCTTCACCCAAATCCTTCAGACTTTTCTGCACAACAATGTCCAAGTCCATATAAAGACCACCAAATTTGTACAATGTTACCGCCCGTAAATAGTCTGACATGTGTTCGTATAAAAATCTCGATTTGAAAAGATCATTGGTTTTCACCCATTCGGCAACTGGAGTGCCAGCTGAATATTCCCATAGGTCCATGTTTCGAAGATGAATGTTCTCGTATTTTAAGAGCTCACCAATGAATGGTGGCATGTGTTCGTTACTGTCCAGTCCAACCGATGAGGCAAATATAACAAAAATATCACGGTCAGGATTCCACAGTGCTGTCGATTCAATGGCACATGCTTGCCTATTGGAGAACGGAAAAGTGTTTTTTTTCAAGTGATTTGCTCTCTTTTTTTTCGAATGATTCCATAAACAAACGGCTAATTATTATGCACGTTCAAATGCATTCAATTCACATTTATGTGAATGATTTATAAAGTGAATCAACCAATAACTTACTTTGCATTTAATTTCGCAATGCCCGTCGTTGAACACGATGTTTCGTGGAAAAAAATCGCTTTACCCGGTATTGGTTGCTTGTTTGCATTCGAAATATCATCAAAATATACCATCGAAGTGGACAGACTCTCCTTTGATTCCACATGTTTGTAGCACAAAATTTTATTCTTCAGATCATAAGCTCGTAAAAAGAATGCACTTAGATAAATACACAAGATACACACTGCGAATAAGAGCAATAGACATTTCCTTTGGAAATGACGAAACAATCGAACGAGCATTGTGATGTTTAATGTAACTTGTCAAGTGGCACAAATGCTGTGTGTGTTTTTTTTTCTGCAAGAGAAAAATGTTCATTCGTTGATATCGCTATGCTATTCGATAAATGAATGGTTATGTTACTTGATTTATACACAAGCAACGATGAGGTGATGGCTCTGATTTAATACAAACCAATGACTGCAAAGTGTCAAACGTAAATAGACAGCAGCGACAAGTCACATAATACTAAATGCATCCATTCCCATTAAGGCTTAATGTAAATTTGTTTGCGCGGAGTTTGAAAACAATGAAAAATTGAATGGGTGCGTTTAATATTATGCAACATACTAGCGATAGTCGATACGAACAGTTTAGGTAGTTGTATTGAGCTATGAGACTGTATGTGTACTGAATTCTTCTCAACCGTGCTATTCGAAATGTGTCAAAAGTCATCTTCGTTGATCCTATGAACTCCAATTAGCTATCGTTCAATCAGAAATCCACATAATGGATTCACAGCACCACAACTTTACAAAACAAATTATCCACCACAACTATAAAATGGAATCGAGACCGAGCTGAGGGAACTAAGTTAAAAAATATGTGATATAGGATTTTAGTTTTGCAAACTGATGCGTTATCAAATGTCACCTATCGGAGTATCGATCTAACTGATTTAATTGAACAAAACGCGTAACAAATCGATTTTGTGTTCAAAATTGCATTGAAAATATGCAAGAAGCCGTCGGTTCTAAACGTTTCAAGCGCCCCTGACAATCTAAACCGTAATCGACAATACGCAAAATTTGTATGACTCAACGAATGAAAAAATGGATTCAGTTCCAGTCGCACGTATATTCAACGACATTGCAATTTGGAATACACTTGAAAACTAGCACACAACTTAATGACACGTAGTTTTATCAATAATAATTATACTCTTTAAATCGTGATAGATAAAATTGACAAATATCTAAGCTAATTACTATTGAACGCTCTCAAGCGCTGATAAAAATGCAGTCAATAAATGCAATTGTTGCATTGATCGATGAAAATGTGTACGGTATTCGCTTCTGTTCTGTTCAGGCTATGAACTAATTTTGCTGTTCGACTGTCGCTAGAATTTTGCCCGACACATTTGATTCAAATGATACGAAAGCCGTGTTCAAGTTGCTTTAGGTTATCAACAGAGTGCATCGGAAATTTTTATTTGATAATAAGTTAAAATCTACAGGAATAAATGAAATGAATAAATTATGCTTTTTTTTATTTCTATAGGAAAAAAGGCTTGAAAATGTCCATCAAATTGATTTCAATCAATTAATTTGAATGTAATTTGATGTTACTTTATGGGTGAAACGAAAAACGTCCTAAAAAACCCAAAAATCGTCCTATAAATTACGAAAATCAGTTATAATTAAATAAACAAATAAATATCACAAAAATCGTCCTGAAAAAATAACAAAATTGAACTAAAAGACCCTAATTTCGTCCGAAAAATAATACAAAAAACATCATAAAAAACAGATTGTGTTTGTTACAGTATATTTTACTGAGTAGTCTCATTGCCATTGAGATATATAATCAAACATACAGTTACTCACAAAATTGTTCAATGTGTCCAAAACGCATATTTTCTATATCACATGGGGTAGATATACTTGCTTACGTGTGATACTTGCTTACGTGCGTCTCATATTCATCATATTTCGTCAAAAAAGAAACATTTGACTACATCTATTCGTAATGCTCAATTTTATGTTACAAAATATCGCTGATAACATTCGATGCTGTTGTTTTTACAATCTAAGGAATTCCCGTTCATTTCGTCTATTCCACAGTTCTCCGTTGAGTCACGCTTTAATCATTTCCTTCTTCAATTCTACAGCATCAAAATAAGAAACATTTTCGTTAGTTTTATGAGAAAATGATTTCATTTTAGTTATCAACAACAAACAACTTCGTTGTTTTCTTCGATTGGGTTATTAAGACAATTTTGAGTTTTATTCCATAAAGGTATTTTTTCCATGAAAAAGACTGAATTTAGCGTTCGAGTGCTTTGGCAGTTTAATAAGTCTCTGTTAAATTGCCAACTAATGGGTTTGTATTTTTTTTTAAATTGACATGGGCTGTTATTTGAAATGGTCACTAGGCAAAGCGTTTTATCTTAGCATTGAAAGGACTCTATTGGCGTTAGCCTACCGCATTCATGTCCGAAAAGCATTACTTCATGCAGGAAACAACATTACTTTGTCATGAAAAATTGTTTAAATTAACATCTTTTTTTATTGAACGCCGCAGACATTGAATAAAACTTTACTACAGAGTGCATGGCACAGAGATAGTATAGTTGAAAGCGATGCGTTGTCAAATGCAAAAATTGTAAGCTTTATTTCGTTCTTCTTATCGCTTTGCGTTCATCGTATTTTTGCAAAATAAACAACCATTTTTTTGTCCACTAAATAATCAGTTTTGTCATGATGAAACACAAATAAATAAAACGCAACGATTTGCAACAGTAAATTTTGAATTGACCCTTGTGAGCGTACAATAATTTATACCATTCTAGTTCTGGCGCAAGACACTCATAATTAATCATCGACGCGGCAATTGATAAGATTTTATAATGACTGTTTGCCTTTTGAATACGGTCAATACTTTCAGTATTTGAACCGCTGTCAATGAATTCATTCTCAAACTCATGAAAATTGTATGATTTTCGATGGCTTTTGAATACTCGAACTCACAATGTGCTGTGTATTAATCATATTTTTTCACGCTGGTGGTGCACCTAGCCCATGGATGGATGTACTATGGGTTAGCTGAACTATGTAACTGAATGTCAAGTTGGTTGTGTATGAATTTTGACAGAACTTCTGCGGCCATCACCTAGTTGCGCCACATATCACATCGTTTCATAGACATTGTGAGTTCGGAATACTAGACTATCCCGCTTCCGACAAAAATGAATTATATTCAGTGAATTGGGGTGGCGGTCATAACGCCCCGTAAACTGACACCATGCTTCTGTGACCGCAACTCAATGAATATATTCATAACTATCGTTATTATAAACCATTTTACGAGTTGCGGTGATTTCAACGCATTAGCTTTCTTCACACAGTCGATGAATACAACCAAGGTCGACGACATTTTCAATTCAATTATCACGTTATTGGTGTTGTATCTGAGATTCAATTATTATTCAAAAGAAAAAAAAAACGAGAGTAAAAATCGACCTTTGTAACTAAAATCAGTCAATTAGTAGAGTCGCGTGCTACAGTTGACACGAAAAACTTCAATTGAACATAATCAATTTACAGAATGTGCTTGTGTTCTGCTCTGTTCGTTGCTCTTTCTTTCATTCATATGAGTTCTGTTCCGTACTCCATTTGATGTTAGTTACTATTTCTTACGATTTAAAAAAAAAACTCACCTGCTTCTTTGTTTCTCGAAAAATTGAAATTATCACAAAGCAATTGGTGTATATTGCTCCAAAACTCTCCTGCAAATCTCAATATAAAATTAAAACCGCACTAAATTCTTTTTCGGATTTATTCATTAGAAAATATTTATTGTACATTTTTCTTTAAAATTTTCTCTTGATTTTTTTCAGAAAAAATCGTTCGATTTCCTTATTATTATAAGAAAATTCACAATTTTAGTGTAAAAAATTGGTTCATTCAATGAAAAAAAAATTGTTTTATTACTTTTTTGGCGCTGAAATGTTGGTAATATTTTTAAGGCATCATTTTTTTCGTCCATCTTTCTCTTTGTTCAACTTGTATTTCGTTCCTTTCTTTATCATTATTTTTGTTCAATTTCATTTTGGTTAAGTTTCCAATAAAAATGGATCTGTTTACGGTCGTTTATTCTACTTTTCTTTACTTATTTGATTCTAATGGAAAATTTTGATTTTCATGCGATTTTGGTTGAAAACTAATTTTTGTTCTAAAAATGTTTTTTATGAAAATGAGAAAACTCAGAGTTTTTTCGGTATGGCATATATATGAAACATATATAATTATAATTTAACGCATAAAAAGGTGATACAATTCAAATGTAATTGCTTTCCTAATAGCAGAAATGGTTTGAAATTCAATTTTGATCGGATTTTTCAATTTTATGCTAAAGTCAGTTATCAAGAGTTCATGAAAAGTGAAAAACTATTGTCCAGTTGGATCGATTTAAAGTAGCAAAATGATATGAAAAAAAAATAAAGATGAAAAAGATATTCATGTGTGAATATGAATCACTTACAAAATGACATTTCATTGATATGATATCAATTAAAAATCAACACATGTTCTACGTGGCTGTATTTGTTTGCCTAACAGACATCTGTTTTCCACCTTCGTACGTTGTTTCCGTGTCGCATTGGGTACGTGCCAAATTGGTTATCTTTTTGCTACCGATGCCAGTTATACTGATTGTTTTTGATGGATGTTCGTTGTTGAAATGATCAAAAATATGTGCGACCGAACCATCCACTTGGCGTTGGCAAATGTTGCAAATCAATTTCTGAATCGTTGATACCGACAGTTTGATATTTCGATTTGGGTTGCGACAAACGTGTTGAAGTTTTATCTGCACATTTCCCTGGTGTGTGCATAAAATGTGTTCTAAAACGTCTTTCTTCCGCAAATAAACGCCCATGCAAATCATGCATTGATGTAAATCGCTGCGATGCATCAATAAATGGGCAGCGACCCATTGATTACCCGGAATTAGATCATTTTTCCGAACGGTTACACCGCAGAAGCATTGGTATTCATCGATGTCATTGTGCTTGTCAGTAAAATGTGCTGTGAATGCAAGAGCGTCAAGTAATTGCGTCTGGCAAACGGTACATTTGAAACGTTGCGATGCTTCGGCAAAACCGAACTTTGCTGATACATCCGAATGAACTGGCGACATATCTGGGATCAGCATCAATTTTTCATAATTCAACTCATCAATCAATTGATGATGCTCGTTCACCAGATGGTTTTCAATGGACGATAAATGGAATTGGATGTAATTACAGTCCTTGCCTAGAGGAGGAAAGAAGTAAAAATTAATGAAATACGTAACAATGACTTCATCTCGAATCAGTAGCTATTTACGTTTTAGAACATTCAATTGAAAAGTCATTGAAACATAGTACTTACACATGTAACCCATCAGCGAGGCGTCAGACGAGTTTTGATCGAAAACGTTCATCACTTGACCGGCGCAATTTTTGTGATCATTTTTGTTCTTGAATTTCATGTTGCAGGTATCGCAAGCGAACATCAATTCGCCAGTGTGATTGATTAAGTGTTGGGTCCAGTGATGTTTCACCATTTTCTTTGTTTCCTCGCAGAACAGACAGAATGCTTCAATTTTTCCCATGTTCAATTGGAATTTCTCGGCTTGTGCACGCAATCGATCAGCCATTTTGGGCGACGGTCGAGCAATCGGAACTTTGAAGAAGAAATCAATTGAATAAATATCAGTTAAAAAAGTTTCAGTCAACATTTCACGGGAAAATTAAACATTGATACGACCCGTAAAGAAGGAATTTGGATAATTTTGGTCGATGTAGTTCACAACAAACGTTGTGTGATATATATACGTTTGTTGTATGCGTGTGTATGTTTGTTGATGCGACGGCTACTGAGCACGAGAGATGTGTGTGCGGCTTTTGTGAGCGCGAGATCCGTGTATGCGTCGCTGTTGCAACCATCGATATGCTAGCATTAATGCTGTGCCTTAAAACATGCTGCTTCCTAAGCAATGCAAATGCGAACGTCTGGTTTTTTTGGGTAATTTTCAATAAAAATATTCACATTTAATCGTATTTTTTTTTACCTTGACGTTCATTCAATTGTTTGGCGTGTACCTTTGCATGCATGCTGTGTCTGCGTCTTTGCTTTGGCTGAGGCAGACGGTTGGTTTGCTTTGGCTGAGGCAGACGGTTGGGTTCTGGCTCCGGAATAGACTTTCGTTTTCTACCTACTCTTCTACCAGGTAAAACATCCGGAGCTTGTCCGTTTTCGATGCCCGGCAATGGATGATGTCCATTTGATTGCGAATGGAGTGGTTGAACCACGGGCTGTTGCAGAGATTGCTGCAACTGCTGAACGGTTCTAAAAAAAAACAAAGAAAATAACTTGAATTAGAATTAAATTCCTTTTTCTCAAACACACAGTTTGCAAAAAACGGTATTTTTGTTTAAAGCACAATAAAATAAAAACTAATGCAGGCTTATGAGACGGAATAAAAATTTATTGAATCAATTTAATCTGTACCGTGTAAGTGATGCCAACTGCTGTTGAACTACTGCCAATAGTTCGCTTGGTGTTTGCTTCTCCATTTTTTTCCTGTACACGTGAACCAATTTAATTAGTTGAAAAAAAAACTGCCGACTGTTGACAAATGACAAAGATGTGATTTAAATTAAAAAAAATTCAGGTGCCACAAGAGAATATCGTTCAAATTTCCAACAAAAATTTCAACAAAATCCAAATTCCTCTTCTGAATTTATTTTATTCTATAGTAAGAAAATCAAGAGACAACAAAAATTTGCTATGATTTGCATCAAGTTAGAAAAAGAAATTTGCGAAGACAAATGAAATCCTTTGACGAAAGTTCTTTATCGTTACACATTCACGCAATAGCTTCGTTCTCTCAATTCATTCGAATGGTCACTTCTTAGTAGTAGTGCAAATGAGAGCGAAAACATTTGAAAATAAATCCAACGCTTGGTTCACACACTCCAACGTATTTAGTGGAATAACATTCAACCAAGCATTCAACTCCAATGTATTGTTGAAATGCATGATACTCAAACAAACATTCAATGCTTAGTTTACATGAGAAAATGAGAGCGAACATAAACAATGTGCTTGGCCAAAGCGCAGTGCTATGAGCGAATTAACACATTCTCCCATGATATCATCGATATGCGCAGAAAATGTTGATCGTATTGCCTTCGATCGAAAAACATGTGCTTTTTCAGAACAAAATTACAAGAGTCGCCATTTTCTATTTGATGTGCCTACGCTCTGGTTTAAATTGAATTGAATAGGTCGTGTTGAACTTGAAAATTGTAAAAAAAAAATTCTTTTGGATTGCATGATGCAACATCTAAATATATTCATCAATAAAATCAAAATTGTAATATTGATTTAGGAATTGAATGTGATTCATACTCATGAATCAAATACGTTTGAGAATATTTTATGAACAAAATTCCGGGAAAAAAAACGAGTAAAAATCTGATTTATAAATGTCCACGATCAATGAATATGTTTTGTTATCACTTAAATAGAACACTTACCCAATTATGAATGCGTCAATCGATCCTTTTAAATTTTCACTTATTTCCTTTCAAATATCAATTATTGAATAAAAAAAATTATTTTTACACAGAATTCCGTATATTTTCGAAGAAACGTATCAGGAAAAATGAATGAATGGGGCCCGTTTGAATGTTATAATTTTTTTCAGTCGATGCTGTTCACTCACTCAGTCTATTTGTCACACTGAATGTTCTTGCGCGTTTAATGTTCATAAACCAAATGTCATTTCAATCAAAACTCTATCGACTGAATGGCGCAAGAGATTGGTCCGAGAAAAAGCGAAGAGAAAACAGCATCGAGTCTTGCGGTCTATTCGATATGTATCCTGCACACAATCACGCTACTAACACATTTATTACATGAACGTGATAAAGTCGAAGTTATGCTTGTTAGCATGACTGAGAGCACTGTAAAATCTGTGTGTTTGTGTTTGTGGAGAAGAAGAAGAACCATTGGAGAATGTGCCGAAATAAAGGCTGCAATTTTGTTTATAATAAAGCATTCGAGCATATTTGAGGTGTATTAATAGCAACATATTGACATTTCAACCGACGCAACTGGTTCTATATCAGAACGAAACAAATTTTGTTGGAGACTAATTGTGGCGGAAAATTTTGAACTTATTTGATAGAATTGAATAGTTCCCGGAAATGGAGAAGTTGATTTGATGAGAAATCCATTCAATATTGAACTTGCTTCATTGATATTGATTGACGATACTATCTACGGCATTCTAATAGTCGGACCTTATCTCATGTACAATGGTGCGGTTCAAATGACGTTCGTTTCCATATGTTTGCAAAATCAGGCATTTTATAAAATGTTTCGACATTCGATTCTCAACTTGGACCAACAACATCAGGATGAGAATCGCAAGGAAAAGGAGATTTTATGTGCGAGTTAATTGATTTTCAGAACTCAGTCAATGAGTGAAAAATGGTGAGTGAAAAATGTTTTCAAATTTTATCAATTAAATCATTAAATTCTTTTGTTTTTTCCATTCTAATTCCATCTTCACGATGTTAAAATTGGTTTATGAAGACGGAAAATGTTTTAAGCCCACACTTTATGATCCAAATCATCTGCAACATGCTGGTGGTGGCTGTAAATTTATTTCCATTGGATCGAATAAATGCTGAAATTAGGAATACTTATTTCAATAATCGCATTGAAAATTATTGTGAACATTTTTTTTTAAATTCAAGCAAATTTTCACACCCTTTGACATCAGCTCTTTCGTTTTATTATTCTTAAACGTATCTATCATCATAACGAATTTATTTGTTGAATTAAAAACCCAATCCAAAAATATTGAAAATGTTTATCACTCTGATTTCGATGGTTTGCTATACTTCAAGAGGTATCTCTCGTGCGAATCTAGTTTCATTGGTTCAGTCCTTGAGAGTTGTTTGAATTGTCCTTTAATTGTCTCAAAGAACCATGGATAGCATTGGCACTCTGCTTCAAATTGTAGTAAAGTTTCAAAGAAATCATCGTATAATTCATGTAAAATGCCGTGATCGAGCGTAGGAAAGAGGTGATGTAAGGCATGGTCTCCAAAATTGGCCAAGGCTAGAAGAGTATTGCCACGACGTAGCTCCTTCCGTTCCATAACTGTGTCGACAGAGTAGAGTCCCCAGTCATAGGATTTGCTACAGTAAATGAATTCAATGATAAAATGTTTAATAACCATTGGATATTGACTTTGAATATTTGAACCTATATCCGATTTGGTTCATTTTTTTATCCATCTTCAAATTTTATTCAATTTCGTGTAAAAAATTGGCTTAATTTCCGCGTCAATTTTAAACCATTTACGAATTATTGTATGAAAACTAATTCGAGAAAAATGTAGGCTTGACTTACTGCACGGGATCTCCATCATGAACGACTTCTGGATGATGATGACCAGCATTTATGCCGATGATTGAAAATATGAAACCGCCGGACATAATGACAATCAAAAACATTTTCAATGCTTCAACAAATGTGTGATTTCCTCCGAAGAGGTACATCGTGATGGGAATAATGAAGGGCATAAATTCGTCAATGTGCATTTTATAGCCCCGAACAATCGAGAAAAATATCCTGCAACGAAAGAATGCATTCAGTTTTGATTTATTTGGAATTTTATGAGATTGATAAGTGCCTCAAAGTGGCAAAAAGGAAACAATAATTTGAGTCAAATCGTTGGAATGTTGACGTTCTCTTCAATTTAAAGAAATAATTTTCTATACATAAAAACTTACTTTCGTCCAAACTCAAAGAAATAGAAGCAACAGTAGAAGATTGGTGAATAGGCATAAGCGGCGTACCGTTGAATCCAGTTCTTAGCCTCCACACTAGGTACCCAAACCAAAAATGGTTCATATGATATGAGCTCAATGTCGAGCAGTGAATTGGGGTACAAATGATGTGATAGCGCATGACTGATGCGCCAATCACGAAAACTCTGGAATATGATATTAAAGTAAAACATTCGATAATTATCGCGGCGATGCAAATAGTTATGGCCACAAATTCCAGTCCATGTTAAGAATAAACCACACAGAATTGCCATTGTGATGCTTTGAAATCGTTGAGCTAGAATAGCTGTTATGAGTGTTAACACAAAAAGGCCATCGATGTAAAACTGAAACACGAAAATTGTTGTTGAAATTTTTGATTTTGAATGGCATGAAATTCAAAGTGGGTTTACAAACCTCTGACCAAATTTTTGTTTTCTTATTGATTTCCGGCAGTTTTGCCACCACTTTCCGCTTCAACGACATATAAAATCCATCTTCAGCGAATGTGAGCTTCACATTACGTGGTCGATTTGTCTCCTTGACACGATATTTCATCATATGCGGTTCGACCACGTCCATTCTCATGTGATGAGTCATAAAGGCTTCGGTAACATCATGTCCTTTGGTCATTTCTAACCAAGACGGTCCTCCGGGGTGCTTGCCAATAAAATCATTCAAGTCATAGAGCGTATTGTGAATACGCCACAAGCCACCTTCCACATTGTCATCATTACGTTTCGCATCCAACCATCTTCAATTTTAGAAACAAACAATTTGATTTTGATTTATTTAAAGTTTAAAGAGAGACGACTAATGCATGTAGAACTTGTTTAAATTTGCAATACGACGTGTACAACAAAAGTCCAACCTCATATTCTCTTTTCACTTAATTTTTATTATATTTTCTATCCAGAAAAAGTCAAAAGTCTTACACTTTCGTTTCTCTGCCAGTTTTAACATAAAACGACGGTGGAACATTTGTTATGAGCGAGGGCTTTGCCTGTGCCACCATTTTTACTTCTTCACTTTTCAACCAATTAATCACTCAATAATTTAAAATATACTGATCTGATTGAGCAACTGTTCGACTTTTATATAATCAATGAGAGGAAGAGGTATACTAAATGCGAGACAAATGAAAGTACGTCAATATATTCAAGTGACCAAAGAAGTAACAAATTTTGTTATCGCATCAATAATATTGATTCGATATCTCTGAAATCATCAAAAACATTTTTTAGGGAGTTGACTTATCATTTCCATAAATTAACAGTTATCATCCCAATTCGATAGAGAAGAAAAAAGGTTAGGTTATAACTGTCAAATTATTCTGTAATTATCACAATAAACAGTCTGACCTTTTGAATGATACGAATATCAACAAAGGTGAATGAAATCGATGTAAATCAAAACATATAATTTATCCCTTCCCAGGTAAAATTTTCGATGAAAAGAAATATCTTAGCTAAACATGAGCACCTTCAACGCAATTGTATAGTACCGGAACACTAATAAGTCATTTATCTAGTTGGGATTGAAAAATCTTCTTTAGAAATCGGAGTCATTTCCATGGTTTTTGGTATATCAGCGAGCAAAACTGACGCCACATCTAAACTCTGAGGCTTCATAAATCGTAAAAATGGCTCATTCCACTCTTCTGATGGGGATTTTGTGTACGAAATTCTTCGAGTGGTGTTATTTTCAAATGAAATTATCGATAAGTTGTTTTGCTTGGGGCTAGGAACAAGTTGTGTCATTCGTATGTATCCGCATATATTCATGCGTTCGTGGCTTTGTTATTGTTGTTGTAAACTCACTGCGCTGCGAATGTCTCGTATACACAATCACAAGAATTCACGAATATTCGTACGAATTGGTCTCAAGCGCTTGTGTTCCTACCCCCTAGTTGTTTTGTTGAAAAAAAAGAGTCCATGTAATCAGATGAAAAAAGGTTAGTTGATAACGATAAGTTCAATAAAAATTACAACATTTGGGACGACCGACGAAAAATTGTTACACCAAGGTTACACGAAAAGTAAGTTCATTTATCCACAAAGCTTTAATTTTCCATAATAATTTATTTGAAGTCCAGTATTGAAGTTATTAAAACAATGTTAACGATCGAGTTCTGTGACAGAAATTGTGTAAATTTACCATTGGTTATACGATTTCTGTCGAATTCACACATTTTCACAGAAAACCGATTTATTTTACCAGATTTTACATGACGTTTGACAGAACGGATAGTTTACTTGATTGTATTGTATTGTCATTAGGCCTAGATTGTCTACGTGGTGTTTGCTCTCAATAGCATCTGTCCAATTCATATCGCAAGTCAGAAGTGTTATTTTATAAATAAATTGTTCATATTCACTTCCTACTCAACGCCGTTCACACTTACTATATGATGTCCAACCATGAAGAAACAGCGTGGAGCGTTGATAGCGTACATGGAAATGTTTACATTCGTTCTCTTTGGAAATTCTTGTTGTTCATTTATTCATTCGCCTGAAGAAAAAACATTAATCGCAGCAGATTTGACTGTTTTCATATCGAGCCACAATGTATGGCATGGAATTCATGTCGATCGATTTTCAAGGACTTTTGATTGCATTATATACAGTTATTGCCGCTATTCCAATGGTTAATTGCATTTCTTTACCGCCATAAAGTACCACCAATTTTTTAAAGTTTATCGGGATTCAACGATGAATGTATGTATAAGTTTGAGTGAAAAAATAATTTTATTTCAATTGTCAAATGAAAAAGTTGAAGAAAAAATATTCGTGAACGCAGTTTGGCGTTGAATTGAAAGATTTTTTCATTTGATTTTAGTTAGAAATGAGGATTCATTTGGTTTCTTGGTGGAAGCAAACAACACATCTGAATGGATATGGAAAATGTACTACAAATATGGCATGGGCGGTTTCTTGGTCATAATTACAGTGCCGTCCATTGCATCGGTTTTAATTTGTTGGCTATTGAATGGAAATTTTGATTTGACGCTCACCTTTCATCCACTTAAATTTCTGTTAGTAACGAACGATTCATCGTAGAAGAATCCTCATAAAAATCCCGATAAAGAATATAAAAAAGACTTTTTTCTATATTTCTAGTTTGCCTTGGGATCAAACAACATTGTTCGGATATTTTAGCGAGATAATTTACAATATTTTAATTTCTGAAGCTTACATGCTGTACAATGGTGCGGTTCTTATACCATTTATTTCGATTTGTTTGCATCATTGGGCATTTTATAAAATATTTTGTCATTTACTTCGCTATTTGGATCGTCACGATGAAAATCGAAACGACAAGGAGTTTGTGTGTGATATAATCGATTTCCATAACTCGATTAAAAGGTGGGTACAGTTAAACTGTAGCATTGTAGCAATTCACATTCAAAAATGAATCTCGTTTTCCTCCGTATTCAAGATGGTTTTCGGAGTCGGCAAAATTGTACGGCCCACATCTTATGGTTCAACTCATTTGCAACATGTTGATGTTAGTTATGCCTGTATTCCAGCTGGATCAGGTAATGACATGAAATAAATGTATGAATTAAAAAGTCCAATAATAACGGCGGATCAAAATTTCAGCTTATTCTCAAACAATTCGACATCAAGATTTTCGCCTTTTCATTATTATGCATATCAACTAATCTATCGAACTTATTTTTGTGCTGTTATCTCGGTAAACTGGCATCTGAGAGCTATAGAAAAATGGCTTACTCTTTGTATGAATGTAATTGGTATGAATTTCCGTTGGACATGCAAAGATATTTCATTTTGATGATTGTCAACGCTCAGATACCGCTTCATTATCACGGATATGGACTTATCACGCTGCATTTGGAAACATTTTCTAATGTAAGAAATGTTCTGAGGTTATCACGATACATTGATACCTACTTTGATTGTACTTACTTAAGTTTAAACTCTCCATATACATTTCAGTTGATGAGAACCGTTTTTAAGTGTTATATGATGTTCAAGACATTGACGACAAATTGAACTGGTTGAGGAGGAATGAACAAATTTATGGGATCTGTATTGCGTCTTTTGACACCTTCATGCTTCAAAGAAATGGCCAGAAATCAAGATATGGCCGATTTATATGGAAATCCTCCATTATTGCCAACAACTCCCATTTATCTCACAACAATGATACCATCATAGTTTTATGTACCTACTTTTTAAGAATGATTGTCTTCGACCCAATGTTCATTGTTTACATTTATACACATCAATAAAATACAACACATTTGCACTTGCACTTTAACTTTCGATTTTTTATTCTTTCTTACTTGTACCAATAACTGTTGTTCACTTTGATTTCATTTGTCTGCCATGCTTCAAGAGGTATCTTTCATGTGAGTCTAGTTTCATTGTCTCAATTCTCGAGAGTTGTTGGAATTGTCCTTTGATTGTCTCAAAGAACCACGGATAGCACTGACACTCCGCTTCAAATTCCAGTAAAGTTGCAAAGAAATCGTCGTATAATTCGGGTAAAATGCCGTGATCGAGCGTAGGGAACAGGTGATGCAGTGCATGGTCGCCAAAGTTTGTCAAAGTTAAAAGAGTATTTCCACGCAATTCTTGTCTGTCCATTATTGTATCCACCGAATATAGTCCCCAATCATACGATTTACTGCAAAAAAGAATGGATTATTACACCAGCGTTGCTTTTACATGGAGGTGAGAGAGGCAACTCAGAGCTCATCTCTCGTTTTGAATTACCAATCCATTTGTATTCATTCTACATTAACAAACGAATAGGAAATAGCTTTTGAGAACTATTCAATTAAGCTAACATAACCATTCGATTACATACCGTACGGGATCTCCATCATGAACGACTTCTGGGTGATGATGGTCGGCATTCAAAGCGATGATTGAAAACATAAAACTGCCCGATAAAATGATAATCGAAAATATTTTCAGAGCTTCAATAAGTGTGTGATTTCCTCCAAAGAGGTACATCGTGATGGGAACAATGAAGGGCAGAAAATGGTTAATGTGGACCTTGTGACCTTTAACAATTGAAAGTAACATTCTGGAACAAAAAAGTAAACAAAATTATTACAAACAAAAGGAATTTAAGTTAAGAGAAGAAGCTTTTCTAAGCGAAAAATTTGCTAAAAAAATCCGTCGTGTAAACTAGGCTTTAAAAATGACTCACCTCATGCTAAACGTATACAAATAGAGAAAACAATAGAAGATCGGCACATAAATGTATGAAACGTAGCGTTGAATCCAGTTTTTGGCTTCCTTACTCGGTACCCAGACCATAGAGCAATAATAAATAATAATATAAAAAATTTAAATTTCAGTTTTATACCAGTTTATACCAGTTTTTTCGACCAGTTTTTATGCCATAATTCTTATATTTTCATAAGCTTTCTGTGTACCAAATTTCATCCAAATCGGACAAAAAATATTTTTGGTCATTTTTGGCATTTTTTGGACAAAAAGCCAAAAAAATCGTATAATTAGTGAGAAACCCCCCCCCCGAAATTATTTCAAAATATCTCATTTCTCGGGGAAATCTATCGATTGGAGCAATAAAGAATACCCCCTACGAACAAAAGTTCTAGTTACGCCACTGTGTCCTTTGGTCATTTCTAACCACATCGGTCCACCTGGGTGCTTGTCAATAAAATCAGTCAGGTCATAAAGTGTATTATGGATACGCCACAAGCCATCTTCCACATTGTCATCCCTACGTTTTGCACTTAACCATCTTTAATTATTTTTCAAACGAACGTATAAATTGATTAGCACAAAATTACCTATTATTTTTAACACCCTTCATTAACTTACGCATCAGTTGCTCTATCAGATTGCGCGTAAAATGACGGCGGAACATTTGTTATAAGCGAAGGTTTTGCTTCAGCCACCATGTCTCTGTGCTTTTTACTCGTTTGGATTAGTAGAAAAAATGCGAAAAGAATATGAGTGGAATAACAATTACCTATAACACGACTATATAGATATAGTCAAGAATAAAATGAAACACACTGGCTCATTGGAAGCCAATTCAATGCGTTTATATTCATTTAAACGATAAGAAATGAAATATTGGGCACACAAATTCCAGCTTTGTTATCAATTGATATCAAACTAATTCAATTATTTACCGCAATTGTCTGGCTTATTATCAATTTTAAAAATAAACAAAACAGTTATCAAAATGGTTTTATTGAGAGACACAGTGGCATGAAATGTTTTTTTTGGGAATAAAGCAATTTGTTTTGATAAGATAACACCAGCAAAAATAGCAAAAGCCTGAACTTTGAAGAAAAATTGAAGATCTCAATCAAAAATTCGATTGTTCACCTTTTCAGTAGAGCTGCCCAGGAACTGAACACGATTAATTGAGTTCGAATTTGGTTTGCAAATTTCGTGTTCGTTCGGTGTTTAGTTCAATTCATGCAAAAGCCAAGTTCGTGTTCGGTTCACGTTTAGTTGAAACTCGAACGAACCCGAACAGTTCAATTCAATGGGCAGCTCTACTTCTATTCCAGTGAGTATTTTTCAATGAAACATTCTTTCACCAAGCTACAGGTGAACTTTAAACAAATGGACTGAGGATGCCCATGGCATGCACGCCTCTTGAAATCGAAACACAATATTAACGAAGAACATTTCGCATGTCTATTCAAAATACATAAGTTTAAAAAACACTGCTTAATCTTTCAACGTTGAGCAAGGCTATTAATTTGACTTCGTTGAATGAAATTCAATGAATGTTATCCCTTGAAACATGTCTTGTGTATACAGAAATTGGGAAAATACATTTTAAACGAAATTTCAACGAATAATAACGAGACAGTTTGGATAAGAGATGTGATTGGTTATCTTTTTTTCATTCTGGCAATTGAGTTAAGGTCTTGTTGGCATTGTCCACTGAAGATTTTACATGTATTTGGATTACAAGCTCAATTCTGTAAGATTTTGAATTTATATGACTATCCACAATACATACACAGTAAAATTTTGATGAGTTCATGCTATGAACTGGTATACATACGTTGTGTTCATACCGGTGTACATACGTTACATAGTTTTTATACCATATCCTGCGTTAAAAGTATTATACTACACTGGACAATGTGTGTAAAGGTGATGTGTCTAAGGAAAAAGTGAAAAATCAATATTGTTTTTGAAAAGTAAATATGACGACTTTAAACGAAAGTTGTTGACAAGAACATACGTGTGCTAGTCGTTACCTCTTTAGAAAGGAAATTTATTCTCTAGTTAGTCAACCAAAAAAAAATTGTTTTGTAAAATCAAATTCCAGGCAGTGCTTTAAAACAATTTCATTTAGTTAGAGTTTTAAAATTAAGTGCAATGAAAATATTCAATTCCATTCAAAATTCGCTCCGAATTCTGGGTATTCATGAGCCGGAACCGAATTGTAATCGATTTACATTGAAACGAGTGCTTATTTTGTATACATTCACACAAATTGCCATTTCAACAACCGCATTTTTCCTAATTGAAGCGAAATCCTTTCGAGATATAACCTATTCACTTTATACAGCGGCCACGTCGACTCTGTACGTGTCTTGTTTTTCATTGATGATTTTCTATATGGAAAATACATTTCAATTGATCGAAAATCTTGAGTATATTATTGAAACACGTAAGTTCTGCTCCGGGTGATGTGTAAAAATTAGAACAATCACATATATACCCTGTTCATGATTCTTGTGTAAAAAATAACACATTTTCTTCACACACTTCACCCACTTGTTTTATGGGAAGCAATACCTTCCTTTCATACAATATGTACGGTAACGCTTTCGGTGTGAGAAAGAAAAAAAAACTTACTCATCGAAACAAATACAGAACAAAACTTTATTCCTTTCCATCCATAAAACAGGGCTAGTGAATTCGATGTCAAAACCACTTTATGAGGCAATGAATTTGTTGATAGAGAAGAAATGTCGAACAATCCATATCGTTATATTGAATGTGACATATCCAGGAATTTTGTTGCCGAGATTTTTGCTCTCATATTTTCTGTATTTTACGACGGATTTGGGGAATGATTCGTTTACTTTACCAGTTCCAGTGTGGTGAGTGACTGAGTGATACATTGTTCATGATGAAATTATTCAGGAAGCTAGTATTTATGGCTGCCAAAGTATTATTGTTTTTTTTTATTAAAACGGGTCTAACAAAATTGAAAATACCACGAAATTATTTGATAAAAAATTGAATAATTTCCCTTTAGGTTGTCGATACTGAGCTGGAAAACACCTTACACTTACCCAATAATGTTCATAGTACTCACAATATCATCCTATATTTTGCTCAGTTGTTGCAAATGTGTCATTAGCTTATTTATTGGACTGGCCATGGTATTCATGACATTCATAAAGGACATGGAATTGGAACTGCAGACGTTGAAAGAAAATAATAAAACTGATGGAAATGTGCAGAGATTCCGGGATTTTGTGCAATTTCATGCACATGTCAAGAAGTATGGAGCTTTTAATTGATATTTAAAGACCTGTTTATGATATCATGATATCATAAGTGCACTTATTATAAAATGATAGTTTCCTGAACACGGATTGACATTTGAAATATTTAAAGTAACTCAATTACCACAGGAATTACTACAGGAATTCCAATACTGTTTGCAAATCTTTCATTGCGTTCAAATGTCAAATGACTTTCGTGAGAGTGTCAAAATCGTTAAGCTTATTTACCTATCGACTCTGTTTCAGACGTGCCAGTGAGTTTACCGAACTCTATTCGACCGTTATCACGGGTTATTATCTGTGGAGCATAATTACAATTGGTGTCACTCTTTTAATTGTTATCATGGAAACGGTTGGTTTCATTATTTTGATGATATCACTTGATTTAGTGTTCACAATAGTAGAGTTTTATCGGTACCGTAAACATTTGTTCATTCCACTTTTCTTCCTTCTTTCCAACAAATAGTCCCACCATCAAATGTACACCATTGAACTGATTGAACCAATCATAATGATGTTTTGGTCGTTCATTCAAATGTTCGTCTTTTGCAATTTCGGTGAACATGTCAACAGTGGATTTAAAGAACTGAGCGATGCACTTTATTGCTGCGATTGGTATTGTCTTCCATACGACATTCGACGTATGCTACCGATTGTTATGATAGCTACACAGAAACCGGCAATTCGTGGTTCTGGTGATATTCCCTGTTCTAGAGAATCATTTTCGGAGGTAAAACTAATTTTAAAAATCGATTTATTTCGTCCGTTCTTGGTTTAAATCATTTATTTGGAAAATGTTTAACATATTCAAGTAAAAAAGATTTATTATTAGATTGGAATATTGAATTCTAATTCAAAACCTTAACTCCTTCCAGGTGCTCAACAATGGTTTTGAATATTTTAGAATAGTTCGTGAAATTGGACATTTGCACGCCCATTGAAATGTTGTCTAGCTATCGATCGCAAACGAATGAAAAGGAAACACGAGAGTGTTTTTTTTTTGTTAGATTTATTCTTCATTTCAGTACAGTAAATCTATGTTATATATATTGAAAATTATTTATTGTTATTAAACTTATATTTCTTTGAAACTTCTACATTTTTTCTTCATTTCATTCTCTAATCTCGCTATGTATCTTCGCTATGTCCCTTGCTTTATTCGGTTGATTTTCCTATTTTCGCTGAGAAATTTCTCGCGCCAATCCATTTTTCGTCGGTTCAATTCGAGAACATTGCAAAAATACACCTTTCATTGTATTGAAGAACGATGGATAGAATTGGCACTCGGCTTCGAATTCGCGCAAAGTTTTAAAGAAATATTTTTGGAGTTTCAAGTTGGAAATTTCATCGAAAAATGAATTCCATTGAAAATAAGATCGTCGTTGTTGTTCAAAAACTCAACGAAATAAGTGACCGAACAAACGTCAAATACACTTGACGAATAGTTTGACAGTCGAATCCCTTTGCCGCTTATAGACTGCTTGAGTCGTTCTCTTTCTATTGAAGTCTTTGTGCATCAAGACGTGTTGCTCTTTGCCTCCAGAATAAATTGAAAATCTCACTTTCTTTCCATAAAATATCCGCAGTGAAATCCGAATATTCTGCTCACTTCGTCGATTTTATCAAAGTAAGTATGATTCTCTGAATTTATCCGATTTCCACAATAAAACTCAGAATGTTCTTTGCGACACCTCAGTTTTTTTATCAACATAAGCGATTTCTACATTTGTTCACGCTTCAATCATAATCTCACTATAAAATGGACGTCATTTGACCAATTTTTGAACAATACTGCTAAATAATAATAAAAGACAATTTGAAAGATAGAAACCAAACAGTGTTAGTTAGAACATGAAAATGGTTCGACATGAGAAAAATCTCTCTTTGTTGACTCCATCGATTCGGCGGTTGAACACATTTATTTTATTTATCTGAATATTGAAATGGCCGAATGTTTCCCATTTTTCATACGCGTGTAGATGAATTCGACCACGAGCTGGAAAGAGGAAATGGATAAAATGCTGGCTGGGTGTGAGCAACAAATCAAGCAATCCTTGGTCAATATGAAGATGTCAGCCCGACACACTGGTCTGCAATTCAATCCCGAATTTAAGGATTACTTTTTGGCTGCTTCAAATAATCGGTGAGTTCGGATAATTGCTTTTACTCGAATGGAAACAAAAATGATATCAAGTATCTCTTCTGATTGCCATCTTGCCATCTATAGTATTAAAGCAATTTACGAACGATTCGAAGTCGATTTGTTGGAAGAACGAGTCAACGGCGGCGCTAGCCCTAGTTCAACGGGTGTGGTGACTCAGTGTCTCTGTGCTCCGAACAACATCAAAATGGAACGAAAGACTGCTGCATCGGGTCCAATTGAAATCTCGGACTCTACTGATGACGAAGACACGATTGGATCGAGCAATGGTTCGCCAAAAGGTGACCAAACCAAACGATCAACCAAAAATGGAAGTTCTGATCTCACTGTGGCAAGTAGCTCAGTTTTAAAACGAAATGAAGTCAGTTCCAGTGAATCATCTGAAGATGAGCCGATTCAAGGTGTTCAGTCGGCGAGCGGTGAAACATCTGCACCAAAATATTCGAAGCGACTTCGTGAAAGACCGTACCGATGTAAAAAATGCAAGATGTATTTTACACGAAAAGAGAACATGAAAAAGCACTCGAAAGACAAGATGTGTTTGAGCCAAAACCATTTCCTAATTTTTTAGATATATTTTCAATGAATTTAAATGAAATGAGCAAATTCACATTCTAAGATCCAGTCTGGTCTTACTTATTGAATTGGCAGATATGAAAAAAAGCGTCCAATTTCTTTAAGATAAAAATTAATACATATGTAATTATGAAATCAAAGTGACTTCTTTAATATCATCGTAAGTCGTCTATTACTAATTTTGTTTTTCTCATTTGCATCGCGTCAAATGTATAATACGCTGAAATCATCTGATTCAAATACATAAACGATGAGAAAGAGAGAAAGAGAGAGCATAAAAGAACACAGAGAAGAGAGAAAGGTTCATAGTTACTTGGCTGCAATTTATTTCGTTGTATTGCTTATTCAATGACAGCAACGCAACAGATTTTTCTTGGAGTCTTAAGTTGGAAATTTCATCGAATAATAAACTCTTTTAAAATTTTTGTATTTTTCAGTGGATTTTGGTTCAGAAGGGAAAACTTGTACATTTAGACCAAAGATCGTCGTTGGTGTTCAAAAACTCAACGAAACAAGCGGCCGAACAAACGTCAAAAACACTTGACGAATGGTTTGACAGTCGAATCCCTTTGCCGTTTATAGAATGCTTGAGTCGTTCTCTTTCAATCGAACTCTTTGTGCGTCAAGACGTGTTGCTCTCCAACTTCTGAACAATGAAAATCTCATTGCCCATTCGTGAAATATCGCAGTGAAAATCGAATGTTCAAATATTCATTATTACAATAAAATAATTATATTCTAAGAATCATCAAAAATCGTTGTGAAATTCATCCTGGTAGGTAGGTGTATTACTTCAATTTTCCCATATAAAATTCAATGTGCAAAGCGTACGATGCTAAGGTTTTGTTCGACATACACACATCCATGCACGCATCTACTTCATTCGAAAAGTT